TCAAAGTACTCGTACAATTAAAGACTAATGACATTAAACAAAGAGAGAGTCACCCTTATTCTTTGTTTTTTCTTCCTCTTCGACACTAACAGAGAGTCACTTTATTATTTCTTCTTTCTTCCTCTTCTTAGGCAACTCCGAGACGATCTCGCTTGTTTCTCCAAGCCTGACATCATTTGTTTTCGCCTGACCTCCCGAGTCTTTGTTGTCTCGAACCCGGTTTTCTTGATTCTGACGATTCGCTTTCCTCTCTCTAACCTCGTCGCTGAGTTCGGACCAGAAGCACCAAACGAAGTCGCTTGAGTCGCTCACAAAGACTTCAATCAACCTACGTTCTTCATCGATTGCGACGCTAGAGATTTGCTTAACTCCTGGAGACACCAAAGCTTTCTGTAGTGCGTCTCCAACGTCGTCGGTTTGGAGGCGACCCGACACCGCCATTGACGACTCCAAGATACTCGTTAGAGATGATTAAGACAATTCCAGATCCGCAGAGGCGAAGGTCAGCGATGTGACTCTGATATGCATTCCTACGTACATAGGTGGCACGAAAAATCCTCTCGTAAAATGACGAACCTCTAATCCATTTGTCTATGTCGACCAAGATCTGGTGTTTGTACGGTTCATGCACGCTATTATTATCTGAAAATTCAGAAAGTTTATATCATTATATAAATTAATATAAAAGTTTCATGGAAATATAAAATACATATAGGTGGCCAAGATATGTAGAATAATATCTTGTATATTTTTTTTGGACTTGCTACTAGTTTCGATCTAGTATTTAGTGAAATAAAAAATTCGGTTTGAAAAACATCTTATATAATATTTTAAAATTCTTCAAAACCAAAGCTACGAGAGGCTACCATGTGGCACTCATTCTTTTGACATTTGGCATTTGAATTTTATCTATTGAAACGAAAAATGAAAATTTTGTGTTAATAACTTGACAATTAATTCCAACAATTTAATGACTAATTTCAATATTAAATGTGTTATTGTGAATTTTTAATGGTTTGAAAAATAGTTATTTTATTTGTTAAATTCAATAATGTAATATACAAAAAATGTTTAAAACTTTTATTTTGACATAAGTAATTGTGATTTGTTTTCTAAAAACTCATAAAAGATAAGCTTAAAAAAAAAGAAGCCTAACATGAACAAAAACAAAAAAAATGCTGTGAAAAAACTAAGATATGATTTTAAGTTTTTTTAAGATTGTTAAAGTCTGATTGGAGATATTTATACTTTTTTTTTAGTCTTCACACCTTCTAAAACCAATTTTCTAACTACTTCTCAATGAAATTAATAGAATTTGTAGTGGACATAACACTTCTATCCAAGACTCTTGAAAAAATCTTAATCATCACAAATTGTGAATTTAGAAAAACAGAATCACTTAACCAATGAATTGATGTTAAAGATTAAAAAAAATCATAGCAAAACGATAAAGAGAATAAGACAAAAATACAATAAAACATCAATTATTTTCTCAATATGATTCAAAGTTCCATTGAATAAACACAAAAATACATTCCAACATCTTTGTTGAGATGATGCATATGTCAAGGTAAGTCAAAATCATATTACAACTTCTCTAATCAATAATTTTTTTATAAATGTGTTTGATGCAAGAAAAAAGATAATAAATCATTTTTTAGGGAATCGTAGTGAATATTGATGAAGACATACAAGTTAGAGAAGATGTCTTCTATATATTGTAGTTTTATGAAAGGTCTATTTCTTTTTTCATATGACATTGTATATGTCCAATAATTTGCTACAAGTGTTTAATCTTCTAATCTAGGTAATTATTTACTATAAACGTCAAATTTATGTAATATTAAATACACAATTTATCAATAAGCTAGAAATTATTGCATATTATATAATATTTATTTTTAAATCCACGCAACGCGTTGACACTCCCTAGTTATAAAGATTATATAATGAAGTTAGACTAAATTA